CACAGAGCCATTCCAACAAGCAGACCAGCACAGATGCTGGGGTCTTGGAACAGCGTATTTCCCAAGGCCACCACCTGTCAGGAGGCATCAGCCTGGGTGCCAGCCCTGGTCCCATTCAGATGAAAATACAAGTTCAGGCTTTTCCCATTCACACCACTGGGAGGAGCAAAGAAACAAGAGACAGGAGAAAGCAAGGTACCATGTCAAACCAGCCAACAGCAACAGACCTTTATTATCATGCAGTCCTGTCATTTAGGAATGGGCAACCAAAGCCCTCAGATTTAGACCCCTTCCATGTGCAGCTTTGACTCTGCCTCCAAAGTGGTAGTGTCAGCCATCTCTGTAGTGTACCCCCCCTTGCCTTCCCCTCCAATTTGGAGGATTCTCTCAGGAGCGTACAAATGTCTACCCTTACTTTTTCAAGGCCTTTCAATAGGTGGGGTTCAGGCACTTTCTTGTGGGTTTTTGTGTGACCAAAACCTGAGGACTATTTCCTAATCACACACAACTGGTATGGTTTTGTCGGGGAGAAACTGCACCAAGTACCTGAAGGACCTCTGACACAGCGAAGGCCAAGCTGACTACAACAGGGCTGCTTGTGTGAATAAAGCAAGTGGGATTCACTCCTCTGTCCCTGATTTTCCCTTCTTTCAAGTTTCTTAGTTTTAGAGGCACACTGCTCCAGTGAAAAGGAAGCAGAATAAAGAAGTTTGAGACTCTACTTCCAACTCTGCCTGTGGCTTTGGGCAAGTCACTTCCCCATCTTTGCCTCTGTTTCCCTGGTCTCCTTTTGTCTGTTCAGACTGTAAACTCTGTGGGGAGTGGGCTCTTTCTGATTATATGTATACATAATGCCCACCATAATGGCCCTTCAGTCCTGCATGGGGTTCTAGGAACTGCAACAATGACAGCCACTCTGAGACATAACAGCTTAGTGTTGTACTGCTGCGCTGACTGGGCCATTACTCTGGGGTAGGACAGTAGGATAGAGGAGAGTGCATTAAATATAGCAAGGCTGTTCTGCAGTAGAGGTTACTTGGAAATAAGCTGAATATAAGCACAAGAAAGCAGTCTGCAGCTCCAGGATTAATGTGCCCCACCCTCTGGCATTTGTACAAGGAGCTGGGTAGGGCACAGAGGGGAAATCCAGTCTATGTAAAACCCTATTTTTGATACATCTTGAATCTCTGTGTGAGGGGGGCACCTAATCTGATTGAGGCAAATCCTCCTGCCACTGAAGACTTAACTTTTTTGATTTTTTTTTTAAACCAATATACAATCAGAGCTTTGACACACCCAAAATCATGAGGGAGATCTGAAAACCACAGTCAAGTATCTTATCTGAGGTAAGTTTGTATAAGCTAATGCAAAGCTGAAATGCTAGTGCTGATTTCACTGAGAAAAGCTGCAGCTCAAAGGCAGTCTCGCATAAGAAAAAATGTAGCAGCTCCCTTAGTTCAAATTGCCTGGGTGGGGTTCCACTGTCTCTCTCACATTTTTCCATGCTTGAGGCAAGGCTATAATAGTGGTGTAGCAAGCAGCGTGCAGTTGGAGCCAAACCCTGCAGCTCCTTCTAATACAGTCTCTGCCCTAAGCATAGCAGAATTTCAATGCAAAATATAAAAAAGGATAAGTATCTATTGTTAGTGAGCTCCATAATTCATATTCTGAAATACAGGGTATTGTAGAAATTAAGAAAAGGGAAAGACAGAGCTACTAGGTCAAAAGAATTAATCTTATTGAATGGAAAAAGCAGTTGCTGAAGATTTTCAAAATTCTTACCCTGGTAGAGGAGGCTGGTTCTTTTGAAGCAGGACCTTGCTTTGCTGTAGCCTAGTCTGGTTGCACGAAACAGCAGTAAAGAGAGTTCCCTGCTTGCTGGGTTATAAGTTTCCAGTGGTGGTGTGTCAGGACGTGTGGTGGGGTGGTGTGTCAGGACGTGTGGTGGGGTGGTGTCTTCTCGCTGACTTTTAAAGGAGTTTCTATGAATCAGCCTAACTTTAAAGAAAAAAAAATTAATAAACTACGCCCTGTTTTCTTGGCAGCAAGTCAAAAGTTACTGGGAGGAAACCAGCAATTCAAAGAGATGGCTTGTAGGGTTCTGTCTGACTCAGTGCAGTACGGAGACCACAGCCTGGAAAAAAGAATGACACTAATCTAGTTGAGTAATAGGAGGCCCATAAACAGCATCTGTTTATAAAAATGGCATCTAGTTACCATTAAAAAAAATGTATAGTTACAATGTAGCAACAGAACTTAAACAATACAAGTCTCTCAAACAAACAATCAAGTGCCCGGGTATAGGCCTTGGTGAGTCATACTACACACCCCAACCCTCCACCAGATTCTGGGGAAGGAGGCATTATCCAAAGAATGAGGGGAAAGGATTTTGGTTTGTTCCTGTGAAATGGACTGGATGAGCCTTGCGGGAAGGTACTCTATAGCGGAGATCCCTTCAGTGGAGAGCCCGAGTTACTCTGCTGGTGATGGCTGTCTCCAGATGAAGAAGACAGAGCAGACAGGAAGGAGAAATAAAGTCAAGAGACACGGAGATGAACTGTATTGGGAGGTCAATAGTCCTGTCATTTTGAAGGCATCTAAAGTCAGAGATAGTTCACTTTCCCATAAAACCAGCTGTTGTAGCTGCCTTGTGGTATAACTGGCTGCTATGCAGTCAGGATTGGAAAAGGGTGTGCCCTGCCTGATGGTGAAGGAGAAAGAGTAGGAGATTCAAACAATAATTGCTTTATTACAATGGGCTCCACACTGTGGGAAAAAAATGGGACCCTTTTCTTCAGGGACCATTTTGGCATCTGCAGAGAGCAGAAGGGCAAGGCATAGACACAGACAAGATAAGGCCTGTATTTGAGGTGTACACTGTATTATTATTTTTTGTAAAAGGAAAACTGGTACTCTTTGATCTGCAGACATGAAAAAGAAGATCTTGCTGTTTGTCAGGCTGGTCCCTTTGTCTGGCAATGTTGTCTTGTTTATGGACAAGTTTTGGAGCAAAACACCCTGCTTAATCTGGCTGGCACTTAGACAGAAGAGAAAACTATTTATGTGCTCTCAGTACAGTTCTGTTCCAATTGAAATCCCATGGACAATTCCCATGAGCTTCAATGGAGACAGGATTTTGATTTCTAGCTATAGAATAAGATATTGGCCAGTGCCTAGGCATCTGCCATGAAACAGTTGACCATGTGCTCATCCCATGATTTCTCTGAGACATGGTGTTGAAGCAGTTTGCCTAAAATACACAGCAGTTTTGAAGAAGTGGTTCATGAGCAATAGTGGGCAACGAGATGTGTAATGTGCAAAACATTATTTGCACAGATAAACTGCATTGGTATTGTATAAATTTCCGTATCAGCTCAGTTCATCTGACCATCCCATCCAGTGTCCTGTGTCAGCATGTGGCTGGTACCAGATGCTTCAGAAGAAGAAAGAATTCCTTCACAGCAGGTAATTATGGAATAACGTTGACACAGGAGAAAGTTTCTTCTTTCCCCTTGAGTTTCTTCCTTCCCTTTGAGTTGGACATCTTGAAATATAGCTACCAGAATAGAGAAATTTAATCAGACAGGCAATGAGCAGTGCATCATGGGATGAGGGTTATTTGAGCCAGTGAGGTAATTATCTTGGCAATCCCTCACAATCAAGAATGATTGTCTTCCATGATTGTCTTAACGTGTGTCCAGAGATGGCTGATGAGGCCTATCTGGGATCGGTAGACTCTACCGCAGCTTAGACATGCGTTTCTGTCTGGGGTGGGTGATGCTGGATTCTTTATTTGGTCCAAGAGGGTAGTTCCATCAGTGACTGCAGTCTTCATTGGCATTGCATCTGTCACGATAGACCTGAGGATGGGCATTGTGGTGGTTAGGCTATCTTATAGCAAGTCCAATCTGAACAGTCATGTGAGTGACTTTGTGCTTTTGGGAGCAGTTTTGTATGTAAACACACTGATGTTCCAGTCAAGTCAGGAAGTCCGCATTGTGGTTGGCAAATCTCATGAATGCAGACAGTATTGAGTTTCTAGTGAGAGGAAGTGGCAATTTGTTTTCAGATGGATCCATTGATAGGTTGGCTTGTCTTTCTAAACTGGGAAAATACGAGAAGAAAAATTCCTTCTTCCAGACTAGATTAAAAAGCAACATAACATTCTAAGGCTATGAAATAAGATGTGTTTTTAAGCTTGTAAATAATATATGCAGTTCACTGCTGCAGGTTGTTAACTTAATGCATGTTATCTATGTGTGGGTAGGTATAAGTAAATAGTAATAATGTATGTAACAATGCTAGCATTTACAGTGAAATTAGCTAGGATAAATATTAAGATTTGGCCAGCCCAACTAAAAAAGAGAAACTGATTATTAGGGGTGGGGAGCAGTTGACTAATTATGCCTCCATAGGGTTGGAAGGAGAAAGGAATGTTCAAACTCCGTGAAGCATCCAGAACTGGTTGTTTGTGAAGGGTGAGATACTAACTAGACTATATACACTGAAGGGATATTTTAATGTGTTCTTATGGTGCAAGGTTCTATTTTGAACACAGGTTTATATTTGAGTTACATATATCCAAACCACATGCTAAAATTGATCAGACCTCACTGTGACAGAAATTCAGCAGGTAAAATATGCTCCAGGCAATTTACTATACTTTACGGTACTTGCCATTGCTTGGTGTGGGTGGAGTCTAGCCTGACTTTGGGTGTTGATTTTTTTAGTGTTTTGTACTGTTGTTTTGTACTGTTGTTGATGTATATGTACACCCTGGGGAAATGCATGTGACATGATAATTTGTAGAAGCATATGATGCACTTCAGAACCATGTGATAAACTGCATGTCATTCATGGCCCTTCAGGCCTTGGAATAAGAGCTTTCATTTACGCCACTGAAAATTATAGAGTCCCCGTTTTCCTGTGGAAGATGCAGAGCACTTTTTATAGCTCTACCTGGTTCCAAAGTATCAGGTATTTGATACCATGAGTGTGTTATGTTATTTTAGGTAGCATTAATTGCTTTCTCAAACACAGTAGTAGTAATCTTCCTTTCTACCAGAGGCCTGTGCAATTTGATTCATGGCGCTATGGCAGCTTGACTTTACAGTCTGAGGCTTATGAAAAGAAGTATTAACACATACCATCCTTTTGTAATGTGTTCTATTTTTAATTCTTTATATAGCATCAGTGATGCAACATGTGTTTTCAAGACATTAAGCAATAGATGGCCCCAGGTTCTCATGAGCCATGAATATTTTCTTAAACTACATGTGGGGTAAAATCTTTGCATATGCCTATGTCCCATTTTCAAATATAATTTAACACTTAGGATTTTAAGTCCTGCTGACCTTTTAAAAATGGGACTTAGGTGCTTTTGAGACCTTCACCTGACATTTATAGAATTCTTGTGGGCGTAGTACAGTATGAGGCATTTACTGACATGACCAGCACTCACTTATGACTTCATTGCTCATAAAATACGGCCATCCCAGTCTCAGGCCAAAACTCCTAAAAAGGAAAATAGGTCTCCAATAAGTAGATCCTTTCCTCAGTCATTCTCAGAGTTGTCAGAATTTGAAAACTTCCCAGAATGTGAAAACTCATGCTCCTTTATCCTGGTGTCTGAAGGGGGCATTATAATTCCTCCTTCAGACTAGGAGGATTGACATCTTGCACTGCCTTGGAGAACGGTGACTCTCTCACATTAGGTTGGCTTTCTTGTGGTGTTGATATTGGCCAGTGTATTATGGTTTGGAATCAGACTGGTGGATTTTGACAGATTGATATCAGACAGGGTAAATTATAACGCTTTCACATCTGACTTTTAGGGATTAGACTCAACCCCACATAATATTGGGCCATTATAAGTCACAAACACTGAACTCAGGATGGTGATCCTCAACAGGCTGAGACGTTGCTAGATTGGAGGAGTACAGTGCTCTCAGGTGGAGATTTTTGACTCTTTGGGACTGGCAGATTAAGTGCTTGTGATAAGGTGTAAGAAAATGATGTCTGAATAGGCAGGCACATTGCAGCTCTTCCCATTGCACTGCTTAAAACTGATTGAAAAAGTGGGAAGGTCACCAGGGTGAGGTGCGGTGGGATACTGAATCACTCCCAAATGGCAGTGGGGAGGAAGTGCTCTCCCTCTGTGCCCCTATCTACTTCTCTGCTACCTGCTTCTCTTTTGAGCTCATCCTTTTGACACTGAAAACTTCCCATTTGAAGAAGCTCAGTAGGTGTGCTCCAGAGATAGCATTTGCATTGACTCTTGCATGTGGAGCGACACTCTCAGAATGTTACATCTCCACTGTCAAAGGGATAGGGGATAGAGTCTGTCCTTCCTCTTGCTGGAGCCCTTCTCTCCCCTGTTTTTGCAGAAAAGCTTGGTTCTCTTCACTGCTTTGTCCTGGCCTTAAAAATGTTTCTGCCTGTGGTGATGTACCCTTTTCCTGGATGCTGTATTTTTCAGTGCATGCTTATGAATGTGTTGAAGATAACTGACAACATACTTATGTCTAAAGAGATGTCTTTTGAATCGTACCAGTTTTGGGACTGCTGCCTAAAAATGAGCCTCCACGTGTGTCTTCCAGCTCTTGTTATTGCTGGTGCCTTGGGAAGGCAAGTAGAGGCTCTGCTGCATTCCAGAGGGTGTGGTACTCATCGTTTACATCAAAGCATTGTCCTCCCTTTTTTCTTGGAAGCTTTACAGAGGCAGAATTGCTCTCTTGTGAGAAAAACAGGCAAGAGTTGTTCTCAGTGATGTGATGACAAGTCAAGTAGCAACTTGGTTTCTGAATGTTAGTGCTTGAATGTTAAATGCAGGCAAAGAGTTTTAGAAGCATTAATCCCTTGGAGACCCGGGGAAGGGTACTGTAATACCTGAAAGCCTGCCTATGTCTATACCAGCCTGGCAGTTGGTTCA